TTTTTTTCGGTCCGGGATCGGTCTGGATAAGTCTGCATGCAGCCTTCTTCCTTGCGTCTCGGCCGTCCCCCCCCATTCTGCGATTTCTCCACAATTTTCCTCTGTTTTTTCTTTCTTTTTCTTCCTCTCCGCTACAAGCTTCTCCTCCTCCAATCTCTGGCCAACCACGGAGGTAAATAACTCTTTTCAGCCAGTTTTTGGCCGGTGATCTTGCTGGTGTTTTTTTTTTTTTTCTGCAGCCTAACATTTTTTTTTTTGGTTCGACAGTCTAAGCATATATATATATTTTTTTGCAGATCTGCTGTGTTTATTAGTTGATTTGGGCTTGATCTGGGCATTTGCAAGTATTTTGGTTTCTAATCTACCTATAAGTGAGTTTTTCGAATTTTTTTCTTTTTATTTCAAATTTTTTTAATTATTCTGTATTTTTTTATTAAAATCTGAAAATAAAATTTGTATTTAATTGTTGAAATGATAGAATGTTGTTAAATTTTAAATTTTGTTTTTAATAACTGATATCTCTTGAATTTGTGTTTAATTTGTGTTTTTGTTAATTGATTATTTTTTAATGTTAATTGTAAAAATATATTTTGATATTATATAAAAAAGGTTATATCCCCGATTTAGTCCCTCAACTTTCATTTTTGAACTAAAACTACCCTCGAACTTCAAAAAGTACTAAAAAAATCCTTGAACTTCAAATTTTGGGACCAATTTCGTCCTTCCGTCAACGGAAATGACAGATGGCACGTTAAGTTGCCACAAAATCAATTCTTGTTTGAAATCTTTAATGACGTGGAAAATAACTAGTCCACGTCATCCCTCATTACTCCGATCATCCCTCGTTACTCCGGTCATTCCTCTAGTCATCCCTCATTGCTCCGATCATCTATTACCACTCCAATCACCATCTACTTCTTCACCAAACCTCCTCCCTAATAGAACTCAATAAATCTTATTCAAAAAATCAATTCCTCTACAAATGTATACCAGATCTGCAAAGAAAAATGGAAAAAACACCACATTCCTTCAATCAACATCAACAGTAACTAGATCTGGAAATTCAAGCAATCAGAAACCACACCAAACTCTAAATCCCATTCAAGCATGACTGCAAGCCAACAAAGAAACAGAACAAAAAAACCCAGGCGGGTTCGACTCAAACCCAGGTGTTAGGTTCGGAACCCAGCGCCTGGGTTCGAGGAACGTTCGAACCCAAGCGTGCTGGGTTCGAAGGAACCCAGGCCTGGGTTGCTCGAACCCAGCACGCCTGGTGCCTCGACCCGAGCCTGGGTTCGAGGAACCCAAGTGTTGGTGCTAGGTTCCTTCGAACCCAGTAGGGGAGGGGAAGGAGAAAAGGAAAGAGAAGGAGAAAAAGAAAGGAAAGGAAAGAAAGAAAAAATTTATTTATTAAATTATATTTTTGGTG